GATTGCTGTGCCCCCACGAGCCCCCCCCCCCCCCGCCTCACCTCGATCCAGCCCGCGTCGTCGCTGTCCGGCGGCACTGCCACCTGCCCGCTGTCGAACTCGGCCAGCACGTCCTCGTGCTCCGACAGCAGCTTCACCGTGAGCTCGTACAGGCAGCCGGCGTCGCTGCGGCCCGAGTACCTGCCCCGGGGGAGGGAGCCGGGCCGGCCTCAGCCCTGCCGAGCGGTACCGCGGCCGGCCTTCTGCGGAAGGTAGCCCTGCCGGCCGCGACTGCCCATGGCCCCATTTTACAGACAGGGAAGCTGAGGCCAGAGAGAGAAAGTGACCCGCCCCAGGACTAAACCCCAGGTGGCCCAGACCCAACCTTGGGGCCAAAGCCAGCCCACAGAGACACGTTTTGTTTGGACCACAGATGGATATTAAAACACAAAAAACATGCCAACATTAAAACTCAGGAAGGGCGGTGGACTTCCACCTTCTCCTGAAAACCCGTGGCTCGTTTGCCCCTCCCCCTGTTTCCCCCAAAGCCCCGCAGAGCCCCAGCCCGGCTCCCACCGCCCCTCACCAGTCCTTCACCACGATGGCCGGCTGAGTGGTGTCCAGCAGCTCCTCCCAGTAGCCCTCAGCCTGCAGGTCGATGACCTGCGCTTTGCGACACCACCTGGGGGAACTGAGTCAGGACGGAGTGGAGGCCCCTCCCCCTCCTCCCCTCCATGACCCTCTCCTTACTCAAAGGAGGAGGCGAAGAACTTCTTGACGCTGTCGTCGTGGACGAACTCCACCCCACAGTCTCCGGGCAGCTCCTCCACCCTCCAGCCGTCCCCACCGTGCTCCACGTCGCACCAGCCCTCCAAGTCCTCTGCAGGAACACGACAGCCCCACCCTGGTCACCCAGTCCCCGCTGACGGTGCAGCGGCGCTAGCTTTCGCCCCTGTAGTGGGGGGCCGGGCGCACGTGCTATCTCATGGTGTCGCGGTGGGCAGGTGATGGGGGGGGAATGGTAAGCGCTTCCCGTTTGTCCCCAGATTCTGCCCCCTGGGACGGTCCTCCACAGGGCCTGTCCTGCCCCAGCTCACTGAGGGTGGAAGGAGCCGGGAAAGAGACCCCGAGGGAGCAGGCGGCGGGGAGATAACAGTACAGTATTTATTGGGGCTACTCTGTGCTGGGCACTGCGCCAAGAGCGTTATCTCACTTGACCCTCCAAGCAGGCTGGCCCATTTTACAGATGGAGAAACTGAGCTCCCCAGCCCAGGTAACGGGGCGTGACCCCTCACCTTCCCCGCACGGGTTGCGCAGCAGGTTGCGCCGCCTCTTGCTCAGGAAGTAGAACTGCTGCCAGTGGTCGCGCTCGTCCTCGGCGCCGCCCGCGGGCACCAGCCCCTCCTGCTGGCACTTGAGCAGCCACAGGGGGGCGCCGTCCACCAGCTCCTTCCAGCGCAGGCACACCAGGCGGCAGGCCTGCACCAGCTCGGCGGCCGGCAGCTCGGCCAGCACGCGCAGCAGCAGCGGCTCGGGCAGCTCGTCCAGGTAGGCCGCCTCCTCCTCCTCCTCCGCGGGCCGCTCCTCGCCGGCGCTCGCCTCCTCCGCGCTCGCCTCCTCCTGCTGCTCCTCCGGGCTCGCCTCCTCCGGCTGGCCCACGCTCTCTGCGGGAGGGGCGGGGGAGGGCTGTGACGCCCCCCAGACTGTCCCCCTCCACGGCCCAGAACCGCGAGTGTCGGGTATCCGCCCCCACCCACCCTCGGACCATCCGCAGCTGGGGCCCCTCGGAGGAGGCCTACGGGGGCCGGGGCGCAGACCAGCCCCAAGTCCGAAGAGCGGCCTCAGAGGCCTCAGTTTCCCCTGCAGGGGCTGTAAACCCCATACTTGAGCAGATGACAGCAACTGATAATATTATTAACGGCATCCATCTACAGCACTGCCTTCACGTTTCACCCAGGAACTCCTTTCATCCTCCCAACCACCCTCCGAGATCCCTGCTCCCGTCACCTCCTCAGGGGAGCCCTCCAGACTTCCCCCATGACATCCTCTCACCATCCCGAGTTCCCGTCCTTCCTAGCTTTTGTCCCAGGGTGTGATGGTTTATGAACACTTTTCTCAGGACTAGACTGAGGGCATGAGGGCAGGAACGGGGGCTGGGAAACTCACTGCCTCATCCCCAGTGCCTGGCATCTGGCACCCTGCCTGGCACACGGGCAGCAGCTAATGTTTACTGGGCACTTAGTAAGTGTCAGGCACTGCTCTAAGCATTTTAACGTCATGTACTCTTTAAATCCTCACAGCATCTCTGTGAGGTTGTTCCTGTTGCCATCCCTATTTCACGGATGAGGAAACTGAGGCACAGGCGGAGGAAACGACCAGGATCACACAGCGAATGAGCAGTTGGAGCCTGGATTTGAACCCAGGCAGTCCGGCTCCAGGGCCACCTTTAACCACCAGCCTCGATAAAATGATCCATTGAATTAGGAGGCACTGTGAGGATTGTGATTTTGCAGATGAAAATGCTCAGGCTCAGAGACGTGAAGTGACTTGCCAAAAGTCACACTGCTAGTGTTAGGGCAGGGGACATGGGATCCGAGGCCTGAAGGGAAGGGAGAACAGGGGTGGAACCCCACCAGCCCCAGCTGTGTGACTTGGGGATGGGGAAGAGGGGCTGTTAAAAGAGACCATGTAATACGTGCGTGGGGAAGGAAGGTTTCTTCCTCCTCCTTTTCCTATCCCTGGCCCTCAGTTTCCTCATCTGTAAAGTGGGGTAATCATTGTGCCAGACCATTTGGACAGTGCTGATGTTCACTCCCCCGAGGAGGGGCAAGGGCATGCTGAATTGTAAGGATGTGGACAGGTGTCAGGAGCCTCAGGCTAGACTGGCCCCTGGATCCCAGCCGGCCTCAGCTGGGCCATCAAAGCCTTGAGTAAGCAGATACCAAGTGCCCAGTGTCTCTGGAGGAGGGAGAGAGAGTGGGGGGGAGACAGGGCCACTCTGGGTGAGGGGGGCGGCCACCGCTTTCAGACCTAGGATGGGGGGTTCCTAAGGGCCAGAGCCTGGAAGGCCGAGGCGGTAGTAGAAACAGGCCGGGCACTGGGGGAGGGAACAGACAGGGCCCAGACCCAAGTGGGCGTTGCCGGGACCCCAGCCTGCCAGCCCTTTACCTCCTCCCATGCAGCAGCATTTTCTCCCCCTGCCACACAGTCAGACCCCCCGAGAGCTGAGTCAGGGTGTACCTCTTCTTGAGACCCGGGGCACACAGTGCGTCCTCAGGAAACCTCATTCAGTGAATCTTATTGCGCTCAGCACTTTCCCTCCATTATTAGCGTTTTCTTGCCACATCTTAATGACGTGGGGCTTTACCCCCTTCCTTTTGGCAAAAAGGAAACTGAGGCCCAGAGGGGCCTAATGGCTTTCCCCAAGTCACTCCGCAGAATAGTGGGAAGGCAGAGGGGAAAATGCTGGGCCCTGAAGCCACATCACCTGCCCGTCCTGCTGCCCACAGCTCTCTGGGGAGCCAGGCCCAGTGTCCTCACCTCTCTACCCCTCCCCCTGCCCTGCCCTGGCCCAGGTGGACACCTGATGCTCCCCCGAAAGGTGCACCTCCCCCAGTCCCCTCTCCTGGCCCCAGGCCTGGCACACTAGGCCCCAGATCTGATTACAGGCCCCCCCACCCTGTCTCAAACACACACAACTCCCCACATTGTTGCTGTCAGAAAGTTATCTGGGCCCTGGACGCCGCCTCCGCGGCTGAATCACTCACCTGGACTGGGCCCCGGAGTCCAGGGAATAGCTGGGCCCTGGGAAAGAGCAGGAGCCCATTCTGGGCCCTATAAAGGGTATGGCCAGGGGGCCTCGGATTGGGGCCAGGGCCTGAAGGAGCTGGGATTTTCAGGGCCAGGAGAGAGGGCTGGGCTACCTGAGTGGGCATGGGTCTGTCTCCTGTTGCCTCCCCCACGCCATGCCCACTCTCAGATGGGCCTGCTGAGGAAGGGGCCAGGGACTCCGCCTGCAGGTCTTGTTCCCACCCTGACTCAGCAGGCCACCCCTACAGGCCCAGGGGGACACTGAGGGATGAGGAGGGGGCATCTTTGGTGCCAGGCAAGATGACTGGGCAGTCTCGGAGGGCCCTGAGCATCGGCAAGAGCTGGCGTCCCAACTCTCCCTCACCGCTGGCCTGGTCCCCACTGGGCATCCAGCCACCCAGATGAAAGGGCAGCCCCTCCAGACAACGGAGCCCAGGAGGAAGGCTGGGATGGGGTGGCGAGAGACCAGGAACCCCAAGAGATCCGTGGGGATTCAGGCAGCTCACAGATCAGAGCTGGCAAAAGGAAGAAGTTGATACAAGAAGAAGGCTTGCAGCCTCCTTCATACCAGATGCGTCCCAGACCCCGGCCCCAGAGACCCTCAGGAGCTGGGAGGTGGGAACGTGGGATTACTCTCATGCTATTTCCTGCGTAAGGGGGACCCAGGAGTCCTCCCTCCCTGCCTGTCACCTCTCGAGGCCTCCTGCCAGACCGAGGGACCAGAGGATCGTGCTCTTTGAGACTGTCTCAAGGGCTTTGCTTGGGTGAAAGTTTGCGGCGCTGGGTCTCGGGATCCCTCTCGCTCTCCGATGCCCCCTCTCTGTCCACTCGCCTGCCTGCCCCTGCCTCCCCTCCCGGGCTGGAGCGAGTGGGTGCGGGCGGCGGCGGCTACCTGGGTCACCGTCTCCGTCCATCGCTGCGAGGACGGTCGCGAGAGGAGGAGGAGCCGGAGCGCTGCGGGGCTGCCGGAGTCCCGCGGCGGCGGCGAGTCCAGGCGCTGCCCGCGTCTGGGTCGGGCCCCGGCCGGCCCTGCCTCTTAAAGGCCCCCGCCCCCGCCCCGCCTTGGCCCCGCGCCCGGACGCCCCGCAGGCCGGAGCGGTCGGCCCCAAGCCTGAGGCTACCGGTTCCTCGGCCGACCCAGGAGGCCGGGACAGGTCGGGAGTCGGTTTTTTTTAATGGGGGGTTCCGATCTGGGGCATCTCCCAGCTCCCTCCGGGGGTGGCTGCCGGGAAGAGGAGGCGAGGGGGCAGGGAGAGTCTGCGCGGTGCGGAGGGTGCGGGGCGCGCGGCCCAGACGGGGGAAGGGGGGAGGGGGGC